TTCAGGTTATAAGGCTGACATATACATATGCAGATTGACAATTCACACTTCAACACCTTAACAGTAAGGGTTTCTTAAGGTCTTTGTTACTCTAATTCACAGATGAGGCCCCTTTGTTCCCATCAAGAGTGAAAACCGGCTGGGAATCAGTCTTAAAGTTGCATTATATGTTTTTGAAAGTAGAAATCTGAGGCCTCCTCGTCTGTTAAGAGATGGTTTTTCTCTTTTTACATACATTGCTTCCTTCATTCCCCTCTCAATCCATTTGTGTTCTTGGTCCAAAATGTGCACATTTTGGTCCTCAAAAGTGTGTCCCTTATCTGTGAGGTGGAGGTGAACAGCTGAGTCTTGTCCCGAGGAGCTGGCTCTCCTGTGTTGAGCCATGCATCTGAAAAGAAGCCGTTTAGTTTCTCCAATGTAGAGATCTGGACAGTCCTCGCTGCACTGGACCGCATACAATACACCACTCTGTGTATGGGTGTTTTGCCCTTTGGGTGGACCAGTCTCTGAGAGTCCTGCTGGGTTTGAAATGTACTAGGATGTTGTGTTCGTTGAAAATCCTTCTGAATTTCTCTGATACTCCCGCAACATAAGGGATGACAATGTTTTTACATCTGTTGTCCTTTTTCTGTTTATTAGTGTGTTTTGTAGATTTAGTTTTTTTTTTTTTTTTTTTTGTAGATTTGAATTGAGAAAGCTTCTCAAATGAGGAGCGAAACGTCTTCTGTTACAAATAAAGTCCAGTTGTTTTTGCATTGAACGTTTTTTGAATTTCAACATGGTTGTTTAAGAAATAAGAAGCAACTCATTGCACCAGTTGGGGTTAAGTAACTTGTTGCCAGTTGAAAGACCTGCTATGATGAAACAGAATCAGTGTATACCCATCTCATGCAATAATATGCTAACACATCACAAAACAAAGATTTTTGTTATTGTAAAAAAAATAATAATAATTAAAAAAACAATGTTTAAGGAAATATATTTCTAGAAGTTTTAATTCCCACAATAAGAGTTTCATGAAACGGAAATTAAATCTCATTGGGTCAACACCAAGCAGGTCCCTGGTTCAAATCACCGTACAGAGGCCTTTCTGGGTGGAGTTTGCATGTTCTCTCCGTGCATGCGTGGGTTTTCTCCGGGTACTCCGGTTTCCTCCCACAGACCAAAAACATGCATGTTAGGCTGATTGGTCCCTAGGTGTGAGTGAGAGAGTGAATGGTTGTTTGTCTCCATGTGGCCCTGTGATGGACTTGCGACCCATCCAGGGTGTACCCGTCCCTCACACAGTGATTGATGGACATGGGCACCGGCGACCCCCAAGACCCAAAATGGAAAAAGCGGGTAAAAGATAATGGATGGATGGATGGGTCAACACCATGGATGATGTGTTTGTTTAATACACAGTTGTTCAGAAGGTGAAATGCGATAGAAGGAGTGTTCGTTTGTGCTTCTGTGTAAATACTGCTGATGTGTTTTTAATGATTGGGGTATATTAGTAGTAATAACACCAAAACTATCTGGGTTTTTTTCCACTATGGAGTATGCTGTTTGTCAGTCTTGTTTGTTGGTGGCTCCTCAGATTGAAAAAAGTCCTTTGGATGAAGGGTGAAACATCTCAGAAAAAATAAAAAATAAAATAAAAACCATACAGATGACTTGACTGAACATTTCTGGATTTTACACCTGTATTATTGAGCATGAATTTTAGTGAATACCAAAACTAGTTCAACTTAATTTATTTTAACTGCAACTCCAAAAGAGTTGCACCTTGCATTGGTTGGATGCTCTCTATCATATACTATCATGTAAGATTCATAACTGGGTGTAACTACCGTACCCACCATTGGCGACTGTGGCTGAGTGGTTAGAGCAGTCGTCCTCCAATGCAAGAGTTGGGGGTTCGACTCCAGCAGTCACATGCTGAAGTGTCCCTGGGCAAGACCCTGAACCCCTCGTTGCCTCCGAAGTGTGTCCCATCGGTGTATGAATGTGATCTAAAGCACTGATTAGTCTCATTAAAATGATTTGTTCAATTAGCTTTGTAGAAATCTAGTAGAGTGCTGTATGAATGGTAAATGAGGCACAGATTGTTGTGTTAAGAGCTTTGAGTATCTTGATCAGATAGAAAGGCGCTATAAAAATGCAGTCCATTTACCATTGCACCTTTTAATCACTGGTTAACTGGTCATCATTAACGTCACGCAGACTCTCTCACTGGTACATTTTCATCTTTAAATCACTTCTTGGTCTGCTATCTTCATACATCTCCTACTACACGTCACTGTGTGAGTGCAGCTACAGCGTGCACTCTCAGGACATTATCACATGCAGTGTTCCCTCAGTGCAGATTAAACTAGGCAAAAGGGCCTTCTCCTTCTCCGCTCCTGTTTCCTGCAATATCTTGCAAAAAGATCTCAAGCTCTCGACCTTGACATCTTTAAGTGGCTTCAAACATCTGCTAAGGTCGTGGAAAAAAACAATGCAGACATGTTCCTATTTTTAGTTTTCTACATCGCTGTACAACCTAGCAGTTTTTTAGTTTTTTTAATATAATTTTCTTTTGTTCTTCTCAATTTGTATACTTTTTATGATTGTCTACTATTGTCACTCTTTGTTAAAAACAGGTCCCTCTTGTAAATGAGTCTACCAAGGCTCATTGGGATTAACCTGTATAAATAAAGGTTGAATGAAAAAAGAGGGTTCCATGTCAAGCGTTTACATTTTAAATGAATATTACTGTGGCAACTAGGCATGGGCCAATTACTCCCAACCAGCTCCAATTAAACTATGTGCTTTTGCAAGCCATGTTTTAGACGTGTATGGGAATGTGTACAGGAATGTAAAGAAAAAATTTAAACTGTAGGAGTGTCGTACATGTTATTCTGTGAATAACACAATCATAGAAATAAAATCCTGGTAAAAGATATATACCTTACTACAGGCTCACTAGAGAGGACATTTGTCTTCTTTCGTTACTCCCTTCCTAATGAACTAACTCGCACAGACTTGGCAGTTGTTTCTGTTGGTGATGTCAGTCCGGGGATTCGAGCCAGCGACCTTCCAATCACAGGCTGACCTTCTCTAACCTTTGTTCCACTCCGCCTCACTACAGGGGTGAATAACCAACTGAAATAGGTTCTAACATCATCTTGTCTGGCTATAACGTTACTTTTTCCATGGTGTTGTGCTCTTGGTTAAGTAAAACAGTATATGCATAATTAGTTAATTATGAAATAGAAATGATTATAAATAAATCAGCTTAGTCATGTGTAGTGAACTAGGCCTCCGACATCAAACTGTCTCTGAAGACCTTCAGGGGACAGGAAATGTTATTTAGTAAGTAAGTAAGTAAAGTTTATTTATAAAGCACTTATCACAGACATAAAATCACAAAGTGCTGTACATAAAATCAGACATAAAATCACAAAGTGCTGTACAAAAAAAATCAATGCTAAAATATACAAAGAATAAAACAAGCCTAAGAACTACAAGAAGCACAGTAAAATCATGACATAAAAGCGTGGGAGAATAAAAGTGTTTTCAGTTGCTTTTTAAAAACCTCAACAGAGTCAGCAGAACGAAGTTGCAGTGGCAAACTGTTCCACAGTCTTGGAGCCACTGACTGAAAGGCCCTGTCCCCTTTAGTTTTCAGCAGCGTACGTGGAACATCCAATTATTTCATTGATTTGAATCCAGAAATACAAATTATCTCATCAAGAGACTATTTAATTGTATCCTGAATTAATCAATTGAAAGAACACTCTTCTTTTTACATTATCATTACTATTTTAAAATATCTTGATAATCAAAAGTGTGTTTAGTTCATACCATTTCTAAATGTTGAAGTGAACCACTCATTTAAATCAACTGTGAAACAGTATTAATGATTTTTAAACCTCATTAGATTTTTGATCATACAGTTAAATGCCTATTTACGAAGTAAGTGTGCATTTAGTCTTCTGTCTGAATGAGGAGTAGTAGTGGATGTCGGTCGAAAGTCAGAGACGAGTTATTAGAACGAAGTGTCTTGTTCTCTTTCGTATAAGCTTCGCCCTTTAAGGCTGTCGCTGATGGTTTATCCCGTTATGCGAAGCATTACACTGAAAAAATTTAGTCCACGCCCACCTGCTGTGTGGGCCCCACCCAGTCCGTATAAATTACGTAAAGAGCGGGTGATCGCCTCCCATTTTTCTTCAGCGAGCTAATAGCACTGTCAGAAGAACGAAGAAGGAAAGTTGTGTAGATGACCAACCTTTGCTAAGAATGCTTGGCCCGTCACATCGACCTCCGGTCGTCCGGTGAGCTCTCCTCCCTGAGGAGAAGCTGACGAGCAGTCTTGTTTCAAGGTAAGCGCCGAGGAGTATTTCTCAGTGACAGGTCGCTACACGCTGGACAACGCCATCTTGTAATTTTCCTCTTATCGCCGTCCCCCAGAGCGAATCGGATGGTTCCTCCAAGACAGGCAGCGTCAGCAGCGACCCCCCGCGGCTCATTCCCTCCTGGAGAGCATAGTGTCGGTGGAGGGGGGCTGAGCGAATGCTCACCTCATCCCACCTCGTTTCGCATCGGCGATCACACCACTCCCGGCAGACGGCACCCTCTGGGGTTGCCCGCGTAACCCAGGAGTGGCTGACATGAAGGCACCTTTTTTACGTCCCGCGCCTTTTCCCACAAGTTCGGATGATCCGGCGGGAGGGTTCTTTTTCTAAGCTCCTTTTCCGGCTCACTGTCCAGACCCCATCTGGCCTCGCTTTTCCCAACAGGGTGTCCTACGGGATGAGGCCACAGCCGGTTTACCTGGTAGATTGGGGGCCCGGTTCCCACAGCCCGCGCCCATCACCAGAGCAGAGGGGTTTTCACCGAGCGGTTTTTCCCTCAGTGCCCCCTGGAGCCAAGCCTGACGGAGGCTTCATCGGAGCAAGATGTCCAGGTGGACTAGCGTCCCGCGCCTCCGGTTAGCCAGCATGCGTTCCAGACAGCCGCAGCGAACAACACGTTACGCTGTTGGTGTACATGTTCAGAGGTGGGAGGAGATAACGCTCCGTCTGCAGAGCAGCTGACGTCACCCCCAACCGGTGCGCCTCTTTGCTGTCTGTCGGCCTGCATCGCAGCCGGAGGACGGAGTTTTTCAGAGTTTCCCTGAGACCGCCAACAGATGGCGCTCTAGGACAACAAATGGCAGAGCAATTGACGGTTGTGGCAGAGAATGTGTGTAGGTGACACGAGTTTGGAGTAGAATAGAATAGAATAGAATAGAATAGAATAGAATAGAATAGAATAGAAACAGCCTTTATTGTCCCACGGATGGGAAATTCCAGTGTATCAGCAGCAACAGCAGCAACAGATAAAAAGATAAAAAGATTTAAAGATTTCACACACAAGTTCCTAAATGTTAATAAACAACACAATATATAAGAAATAAGATGAACAATATCAATAATAATGTTCAATATGTATTGGAACATTGAGAATGGCAGACTATTTACAGTACAGTATTACAGGCAGAGTGTATGTTTAAGCAGAGGTCAGCATGTATTTAATCCTTATTGAGTTTGTTGGGAGCAGTGATGGTTGTAGAATCTAACAGCTGCTGGGAGGAAGGACCTGCGGTAACGCTCCTTTGTGCATTTAGGATGCAGTAATCTGTCACTGAACGAGCTCTCCAGTTCAGCAACAGCTTCATGCATGGGGTGGGAGAAGTTGTCCAGCAATGATGTTATTTTAGCTAGAGTCCTTCTGTCTCCCACCACCAGCACTAGGTCGAGGGGGCGTCCAAGCACAGAGCTGGCCTTCTTGATGAGCTTATCTAGCTTCTTCTTCTCAGCTGATGATAAGCTGTTGCTCCAACACACAACACCATAGAAGATGGCTGATGCCACTACCGAGTCAAAGAAGGTCTTCAGGAGCACCCGCTGCACTCCAAAAGACCTCAGTCTCCTCAGCAGGTAGAGTCTGCTCTGACCCTTCCTGTAAAGTGCATCAGTGTTGTGAGACCAGTCCAGTTTATTGTTCAGGTGAACACCCGGGTACTTGTAAGAGTCCACAATCTCGATGTTCACACCGTGGATGTTCATCGGGATCAGTGAGGTGGACCTGTGCCTGCGGAAATCTACAACCAGCTCCTTAGTTTTAGCAGCATTGATCAGGAGGTGGTTCTGCTGGCACCAGTCCACAAAGTCTAGAGTCCGCTGTCTGTACTCTGAGTCGTCCTCACCTGTGATGAGGCCGACTATGGCAGAGTCATCAGAAAACTTTTGCAGATGGTAGTGTGGGGAGTCGATGGTGAAGTCTGCAGTGTAGAGGGTGAAGAGGAACGGTGCCAGCGAAGTTCCCTGTGGGACCCCCGTACTGCAGACCAGCATGTCAAAGACACAGCCCTGTGTCCTCACATACAGTGGGCGTCCAGTGAGATAATCCAGTATCCACTGGGACATGTGGTGATCCACTCCTGATAACTCCAGCTTGTCCCGCAGAAGTCCTGGCTGGATGGTGTTGAAAGCACTGGAGAAATCAAAGAACATGATCCTCACAGTGCTTCCAGGTTTCTCCAGGTGGGTCAGAGCTTGGTGCCTGAGGTAGATGATGGCATCATCCACCCCGATGCCAGGCCGGTAGGCAAACTGCAATGGATCTAATGAAGACCTTACCAGGTGGCGCAAATTGCTGAGAACCAGCCTCTCGAGGGTCTTCATCAAATGTGAGGTCAGAGCCTTGGGATGTTTGGTTTTTGGTACCGGTACCACACAGGAGGTCTTCCACAGTTGTGGTACTTTCCCCAGCTTCAGACTCAGAGTGAACATAAATCACATGATGCCACACAGTTGATCTGAGCAGCACCTCAGGAGCCTGGAGCTAATTCCCTCTGGACCTGCAGCTTTACGCACCTTGATCTTTCGCAGCTCATTCCTCACCTGAAGAGTTGATAGGGACAAGATGGAGGTGGGGGAAGGGGGCTGTGAAATGAAGTCTTCTGGAATGAAGGGGGAGGCTAATGGCTGAGAGGTGTGAATTCCTGAGAAGAAAAGTTGGCAGTCATTAAAGGTGATGATGGGGCTGACAGCAGGGGGGACAGGGCTGGAGTAGGGGTGAGGGTAGGTGACAGATCAAATCTGTTAAAGAACTGGTTCAAGTCATTCATCCACCCTTTGTCTCCTACAGTAAAACATCATTTAATGATGAAAGTGTCCATTTTTAGCCAGTTTGTCAGCTCAGATGATCTGGCAGTGGCTCTCACTCACACCCTCCACACGAAATGAGCCGGTGGCAAGACGGTTCCACGGCCATCTCGCTGAGCTTCAGCCCGTCCGGCCCTCTTCATCCCGGCAACAGAGTGTCCAACGTTTTTCCCAGAGATCCCCAGCAGACGGCGCCCTGGGCCAACGAATCCCAGAGCTCATGGGGGAAAAGATTCAGAATGACGGTCTGCAGAGGGTGTGTGTAAATATGACACAAATGTTGAATAAAACATCATTCAATGATCAAGTGTCTGTTTCTAGCCAGTCTGCAAGCTCGGATGGACTCACAGCGATTGCACACACACCCTCCATACATAACGAGACGGTGTCTTTAATAAGGGTTTTTTAAACTCACCGTTGCTCCAAGACATGACGAGACGCTCACACCTCACAATGGTAAGCGAAATAACTCATTGTCAAACTGAGCTGCACGATCCTCACCCAAGCGGTGTTAAATGCGCACTCACGTGACGCAAACAGCCTTCACCCAAACGGCGTTGCGTTGATGATGGTGCACACACAGCTCCCCGGCGTTCACCGGCCCACATGGGCATAAATGTGGGACCGCAGGTCGGGTCAGTGGAGGACCACGCTCTCAGTGAGAGTGACACACGCCGCATCCAAGCAAACGCGTGCCGCCGCGGCGCAGGCAGCCTTGATACATCGCGTATCAGCGCTCGGCCGCTCACGGCAGCATAAGCGTGAGACAGCTGAGCGAACCCAGTGACGAGTCTCGCTTCCAGCGAGAGCGGCGCGCGTCCCACCAGAGAAAACGTGTGCTCCCGCGGGGCTTGCAGTCTTCACTCAAATGGCACGGCATAGATGAAGTCGCACTCACAGCTTCGCAGCGCTCGCCCGCTCATGGCGGCATAGATGCGAGATCTCAAAGCGAACCCAGCGCAGGACACTGCACGCGGCAAGAGCGACACGCGTTTTCACCGCAGTGGCGTCAAGCACGCAGCCCGACGGCGCCATCAGCTGCCACGCTTCGCCTCAGCACACACTGGCCCACCTAGACATGAAGGTTGGTCCGTGGTCCGAACACAGCACATGGGCGCGTTCAGAGCCCTTTCGAGGAAGCCTCGCCTTGGGTCATGCAGAAAACATTCCCACGACATGACAGCGGTCGAGGCGGTGGACTGGATGACATCCGTACAAAACATGACGCATCACTTAAACGCACGTCCACTCCACGAACGTTACGCGGAGTGACTAAAAACATGCTTGCCAGACAGATGTATGGCCAGGGTGTTATGCAAAGGTTACACGTTACAATTTGCAACCCGACCCCCTCCGTTCGGAGGAATTTTAGAGACGGTCCTGTCATCACCAGACCAAATCTCATCCCTAAATGCAGAAGTCCAAGAGCTTCTGATAAAAGAAGTAATCTCCAGAGTTCCCAAGGGAGAGAAAAAAACAGGGTTTTACTCACGTTACTTCCTGGTTCCCAAACGGACCGGAGGGATGAGACTGATTTTAGATCTGTCAGCTTTCAACAAGGTGATCATGGACAAACCGTTTCACATGTTGACAACCAGACAGCTGTTGGACAACATCCAGAGAAACGACTGGTTTGTTTTCCGTCGACCTGAAAGATGCTTATTTTCAAATACCGATCATCCCAAAACACAGAAAATTCCTGCGTTTCTCCTTTCAAGGGATTAAGTATCAGTACAACAGGCTGCCGTTCGGTTATCCTCTCGCGCCTCGTACATTCTCAAAGTGTGTGGAGACAGCCCTGCATCCGTTACACAGAGCAGGGATGAGAGTTTAGTTTTACCTGGACGACCTGCTGCTGCTGTCACGCTCCAGACAGGAAGCAGTGATGCATGCTCAGGTGTTGACATCACACCTGTTAAATCTGGGCTTCACCATAAATTGGAAGAAAAGTTCAATTTTCCTGGTCCAGACAATTGTTTATCTGGGAGTGGAGCTAACTCAACCACCATGAGGGCTCGTTTATCACAAACGAGAATCGACACTTTAAAAGACCAGCTCCGTCTCGTAAGACCTGGCAGAGTGGTAACAGCTGTTTTCCATCATGAAGCTGTTAAGAATGATGTCATCAGTTCACACAGTTGTCCCACTGGGTTTATTACACATGAGACGCCTCCAGAGGTGGTTTGCACGTCTGCGTGTGGATCCAGAAAAACAAAAGAGACGGATGATCACTGTTCCTCCCTCCGTG